GACAGCACACAGCTGATGGCACCGTCCTGCTGAGAAATGTCTGACTGGTTCTCAGAGTGTGGCCCACGGTCCAGTGGCATCAACATCTGGGAACATGTTAGGAATGAGATTCTCAGGTCTACCAGTCCTGGCTTATTCAGCAAGCTCTGGGGATAGCGCCTAGGTAGCTGTGTGTCCCCAGGTTCCCCATGTTATTCTGAGACATGCTGAAGTTAGCACCCATCAGTTAGTCAATCTACAAAGCTGTTTAAAGCAAAAGAGAGAAAAATTACCCACTTACCTTAAACACTGGATGTGGCTCAGTACATAGCATGTCTGCTGGCTGCTTAGCCCTGCAGCTAGTTCAGGAGTCCATGGATCTTCACTCTCACATGGCGCCCTGTGCAATCTCTGCCTACCAGTGTCCATTTTTTCCTTTATGTGAACTGGCAAGGGCTTGAGAAGCGATCTCTGGAAAGAATCCTTGTAGAATTTTAAAAATTACTTCTTTTTTGGCTTGGCGCCCATAGCTCAAGTGGCTAAGGCGCCAGCCACATACACCAGAGCTGGCGGGTTCGAATCCAGCCCAGGCCTGCCAAAACAACGACAACTACAACCAAAAAATAGCCGGGCATTGTGGCGGGTGCCTGTAGTCCCAGCTACTTGGGAGGCTGAGGCAAGAGAATCGCTTAAGCTCAAGGGTTGGAGGTTGCTGTGAGCTGTGATGCCACGACACTCTACCCAGGGCGACAGCTTGAGGCTCTGTCTCCAAAAAAAAAAAAAAATTTTTTTTTTTAACAGGTTGAGAGAATTTTACTACACTAAACAGAAGAATTAAGAAACTGGCACAAATCATTTCATATAAGACGTGATGAAATTATAAATGTGAAAATAATTTGAAGTGTCAAATAACTTTAAATACCTTTTTTAAAGTGAGTCACAGATATAGATAAGAACCAAAATAAATTTATTTACAAAATTTCTTACTTGACCAGTGGTGAGAACCAAAAAACAACACACCAAGAAATAATCAACTAAGACCCCACTTAACAGTCTTTAAGCCAGTAAGGAAATTACCAGAGCAATTCCTGGTTCTCAGACTAGAAAGACATCCTTTTGGGAATCTTTTAATTGCACAAGAGTGTATATTTGACCAAAGCAGTTTGTGCAAAAAGCCCCATGGTACTTGTAGGCTCAGCTGAGTCCCAGCTTGTAGAGTGCTGTTCACTGTCTGCCTTACATGGCCGTTTCACCACTTCTGTTAGTATCATCGTCTGCCTCTTTCTCTTTTTCTCCTTCTCTGTTGACTCTTTTCTCCTCCACTGTCAGCTCCTTTCTCTCCTCTGTTGTAGCTTCATTCTCTCCTTCTTTGTCCTGAACACTGATGTAAACTGCTTTGTTACAGCCTTCCCGGTTCCAAGCAATTTCAATGGCAAAAAATTATATCTTGGGGGCAGAGATAGTGTTTTCTTCAGTGTAGCCCTGTGAACATTCTAGTTGTAGCCAAGTACCCTAACTGAAATCTTCTATGATCCCACCAAACTTCAAGCAGAATGGCCTCCATTTCTCTTTAGCTGATTCTGATTTGAGTTCTTCTGGGTCCAATATATCTATCCTGAGTTTCTCAAAATTTTCTTGGAATTCAGAATAGATCTGGTCATCAACTTTGGTGAGTTTCAGGAATTGTGGGTCAACTGATGAAATCAGCTTGTAGTAGTAGACTTCAGCATGTTGCATTGCTGTTATGGCCCAAGCCATCTCAATATCAGGATCGTTGCCATACGATTCTGCTGAGAGCAAAAGAGCACGTGCCACTGACACCAGCTCCCTGGAAACCGGCTCATCAGTTCCACTGGTAGCCTCAATTGTTGCAGCCCCCAAATTACTTTTTCCACAAGTTTTTACAAATGTCTCACTTACATCTAACTTGACTGCAATTTTAAGTCTATTTTCTTTGTTGACTTTCCAAAGCTTTCAACTGAATTTTATTAGAAATGCCATTCTCCTTCTCTTGGGACATATCACTAATATTTCACTAGATTTTCTAATAGTAACAGTGGGTTCAGCCAGCATTTCAGGCTTGGAAACACCATGACTCTGGACACAAGCAGCTAATTTGCTGAAAGCTAGTCATTCTGAAGATCAGTTTCCTAAGTTATTAATTTTCTGAACTTAACAAGTTTACCAGTTTGCCAAAAACTTTTAAAACAAATATTCTTAAATATTCTCAATGGATACAACATTATTATGAAAATATTCCTTTTGAACATATATTTTAGTAACTTTTATTTTGAGAGCGCTGTTGCTCAGGTTAGAGTGCAGTGGCATCATCACAGCTCATTGCAACCTCAAATTCTTGGGCTCAAAGACTCCTCCTGCCTCAGCTTCCTGAGTAACTGAGACTACAGGTGTGTACCACCACATCTTTCTACTTTTAGTAGAGATGGGGTCTTGCTCTTGCTTAGGCTGGTCTTAAACTCCTAACTTCAAGCAATCCTCCTGCTTCAGCCTCCCAGAGTGCTAGGATTATATGCATGAGCCATTGCACCTGGCCTGTATTTGTATTAATTTGTGGAATTGGGCTTTTGAAACTTTGCCTAAATTTTAAGATGTGTCAGTGCATATATTTCAAAATTTCTGCACTTCCTATTGAATTTTTTTTTAGTTTATACCTGTTTCCAGAGACACTTTTTCTGTTTTGGTCACATTTTAGTATTTAGGATTCTCTTAATAAGTTGTCAAACTTAACAAGTTTGCCACAAATTATTTATTTATTTATTTATTTAGAGACAGAGTCTCAAGCTGTGGCCCTCAGTAGAGTACTGTGGCATCACAGCTCACAGCAACCTCCAACTCTTGGGCTTCAGTGATTCTCTTGCCTCAGCCTCCCAAGTAGCTGGGACTACAGGCGCCCGCCACAAAGCCTGGCTATGTTTTTTGTTGTTGTTGTTGTTGTTGTTGTTGCAGTTGTCATTGTTTAGCTGGCCTGGGCTGCATTCAAGCCTGTGGGCCTGGGTGTATGTGGCTGGTGCCCTACCGACTGCACTACGGGCACTGCCCACAAATAATTTTTTTCTAAATTCATATTTGGTTTTGTATTTGTTTCCCAGACTTGCTGTAATAAAGCAGCACAAAATGGGTACTTAGAACAAAAGCATATTCTTTTATCTGTGTTTATGTCTCAAGCTTCCCTCTCCTTAAAAGGACACTGGTCACTGGACCACCCTAATCCAGAGTGACCTCTTCTTGATCACATCTGCAAAGACTCCATTTCCAAATAAGGTCACATTCACAGGTGTGTGTGTGGAGTTTAGGACTTCAGCTTATTGAAAGGGGGAGACACCTTTCCACCCACAGCAGGTGGCATGAACTCACAGGTCTGTAACAGGTTTTGAAACTTTAGTGGACTTTTTCTTTCTCTCCCTAACAATGAGTTTTGAATATCTCTGCCTCTGCTCAGCTTCCCAGCAAGCTTAGGGGATCAAGAAACCAAGGTGGCTATCCTGGAGAACTGGGAGACAAAGCGAGGAGATAGGTGTGTGGAGGAGGTGGCCCGAGAACCCAGAATCCAGGCCCGGCTGTCTTAGGCTTTAGTCAGGCAAAGGTAGCCCGTGGACAGGGCTTGGGCCTGGCTCTTCAGACCCCCACCGCACGTCCTCAGGGCAGAAGCCCACGCAGGCCACCGAGAGCCTCCCCTGCCTATCTGGGAGGCTTCCCCACACTAGCCCCAGAAACTCTTCCCACCCTCGTGCGTTCGCTCGGCCTGGTGCGGTTCCCGGGTGCGTCGGGGTCTTCTGCTCGTCCTCGGGACCCTTCCCCTCCCTGTCCACCCCGTGACTCTCGGCCTTGCGGGCCGCTCATCCCACCCCAGCAGTCAGGGAGCTCCCCTTGCGCAGTCCACAAAGATTGTGCAGACAGGCCGAGGTTGACGTCAGGCGGAGCTTGATCCAGCCGCGCCCCAGGTGGCAGAGCAAATCCGTTAACCCTTCGGCCTCAGTTTCCTCGGGCGTCACAGGCGCTCCCCGTGCTCTCTGCACAGCAGTGTTGGTCGCATTTAACTCTGCCCAGGTCGTTATCTGGAAGGCAGAGTTGGACTGACGACTTGCGGGGCCACACGTGGTGAGCGCTCCGGGGAGAGGGCCAGGGAGCTGATTGGCGAAACTCGGAGAGGCGCGGGGCCGGGCAGGAACGGGGCGGGGATTGGAGGAATCTAGCGTGGGGCGGGGCCCGTCAGGGCAGGATGGGGGCGGGGATTGGCGAAGCCTAGGGCGGGGCCTAGGGCAAGACTAGGTCAGGTCGGGGACAGACGGAGTCGGGGCGGGGCCGGGCGGGGCCCAGGGCGGGGCCGGTTTCCAGGGAAACCAGACACTGTCTGGTGGTGCGTAGGGTCCCGGTAGGCCAGCCCGCGGGTCTCCGCAGCGTGGGCCGCGGTCCTGTGCTATCTCGGTGCTGTACAGTGCGAGCTCTCCGAGCCTCGGTGCGGCCTTGAGGCAGGGGTACGGGGAGCTGGGGTCTGGGGAATGCTGGAACTCTGCAGGGACGGCCAGGTAGGGGGGTCTGGCCTACTGACCTCCGGAGGAGGGAGCGGAGGGCTGTGATGTGAATGTGAGGGGCGCCATCTCCCGCGCCTGGTAGGGGCACTCCACTAGCCGTGGCGTACCTGGGACGTTTGGCAGACGCAGGCCTGACCCGGCTGCGGGGCTCTCGGAAGGGACAGGAAACACTGGGGAACTGGCGGGGTTCCCCTGAAAGTTCCAGCCCGCCTCTTTGAGGACGGCCAGCCGCGCGGACTTTTTGCGTGTGGGCCCAGGCCCGGGCATGGCGGCCCAGCTCAGGTGCAACTTAGAGAACAGGACTTGGTTTCCCTGGTCCCTGGGCTAGTCCCCAGGCTCCCAGCGTGTTCCTGGTAGGTTCAAAGATAGGGAAGGTGGTCGTCCTACCTTCACTTTAGAGTCTAAAGACTCAGAGGCTGACGGCCTTGAACACCCACTGCAGGAGATGGACAGTGAGATCCCTGATGCTTTGGACCTGGGTCCCTGGGGAACTACGTGGTCTTCTCCAGAGCTGCTGGGCCCAGCACTACCTGAGACCCATCTCTGTGGCAAGCATTAAAGATCGCTAAGCATTGTTTTACCTCCAGAATACTAGTCTGTGGAGAAATAGAAAAGCCTCAACATTGTATCAACAACCACCAAGAACAGTGACGACGATGGGTAAATGGAACCTGTTCCCTGCCAACCTGCACACTCTACCTGTTGATTTCACCTCCTAGTATACTACAATTTTTGTTTGTTTTTGAAGCAGAGTCTTTTTCTGTTGCCAGGGCTAGAGCACAGTGGCATCATCATAGCTCACTGCAGCCTCAAACTCCTGGGCTCAAGTGATTGTCTTGCTTCAGCCTCCTGGTTAGCTGGGCACTATCATGCCAGCTAAGTTTTAAATTTTTTTGTAGAGACTGGTCTTGAACTCCTGACCTTAAGCAGTCCTCCTGCCTTGGCTTCCCAAAGTGGTAGAGTTATAGCTGTGAGCTGCTGTGGCTCCGACCTCTCACCTCCTGGTCCATGTAAGGAAACATTTACCTTACAAGATAGGGACTTTCCAAGTTGACACTGTTTCTTTACATAGGGCTATAGTGATAATAGGGCTACTCTGGGCCAGGGGCTGCCCAAGGGATACTTTACTATTACATCTCATGAAATCCACTCTGTAACCTAGCAGATCCATTCCTGTTATGGATTTAATGTTCATGTACCTGCACAATTCATATGTTGAACCCCTGGTCTTTAGTGTGGTAGTATTTGGAGGTGGGGCCTTTGGGAGGTGGTTCTGTTTAGATGTGGTCTGAGGATGAGCCCCTTATAAGAGGAAGAGTGAGAGCTCCCTCTTCTTCCGCCACTGCCTCGTCAGGACACAGTGAGAAGGCAGCTGTCCACAAGCCAGAAGGAGAGTCCTTATGGGGAAGTGAATCTGCCTGTGCCTTGACCTTGGACCTCCACCCTTCATAGCTGAGGACTGAATGTCTGCTAAGACACCCAGTCTGTGGTGCCTTGCTATAGTGGCCCAAACACACTAACACAGTCTCCATTTTACAGATAAGGACACTGAGTCATGAAGGTGTAAGGAGACTGTCTAGGCCAAACAGCAGGCAGAGCTGAGGGCCAGGCTCTTGCCCACTGTGTCAATTGACCGCTGCCAGTGACCCCTTAGGGGGCCTTATAGCTGACTGGTTATAGTAACAATTTTCTTACTTAACCTCAAAATCTTTCCCACTTATCATTTTCAGAAAATAATTATTATAAAATTTCTGTTTCTTTTATTCCCACCGTAGGTTATCTCTCCGCCCCACTTATGGATATATATGTATATATATACACATACATATTAAACAAGTAATACCTATCCTGTGTAGCGAACAGAGAAAATACAGGTGTATTATTTGCCAAAGCTGCTGCAACAAAATACCACATAGATGGGGGCAGGGGTGGGTGGGAGAAGATGGAGACGGGGGCGGGGGGATGGGAAAAGGGGGGTCGGGCAGGTTAAACATCAATGTATCCTGTCAGTTCTGGAGGCTGGAAATCCCAGATCCAGGCTCTGGCTGGGCTGGGCTCTTCTGAGACTGTGAGAGGGCATGTTCCAAGCCTCACTCCTTGCGCTGTAGGTGGCTATCCCCTCTCTAAGTCTGTTCCTGGAGACAATCACAATGTGAGGTCCTTGGGTTTAGGACTCCAACACGAGAAGGGGGGGCACAATTCAAGCCATAGCAACAGGTGACCACGCCCATGCCTGCAGCCCTGAGGTCACACTGTGTTTGGGAAACTCTTCTCCTTCCTGGTTTCTTTCTGTGTAGACGTAACTAGATGGTGAACACGCGTGGAGTTTGTGTTTGCAGCAGCTGCGTCCCTTCTTTGCTGGCCAGGGGCTTTGTTTAGCATTTGGGGCTCACGATTGGCATTTCAGGTCCAGTGGTCAGAATCAAAGGTTCCCAGACCATGTGCTGTGTAGCCAGGCCACCAGCCTGTTGACAGAGCCCCGGGCCAACGAGAGGGAGGCAAGGGCGTGTGTAGTGGGGGCAGGGTGGGACCACTTTTCAGTTATGGCAAATCTGCCGTCACCCATGTTCTCTTTACACCCCCCACCTTACATCTGTCCTGCTTCCTTTCAGCCACTGTCTCTCGAGCTGGGTCCACATAAGTCTATTGAGTGTCTGCTTTCTGCCCAGCTGGCACTGCTGGCCAGCTGGTGAGAGGACCCTGCCATGGGTACCTGTGCTCAGCAGACAGTTGGAGTGGGGCAAAGGACCCTTGGGAACCAGCAGGCCCCAGGCAGGAGAGGGCTCACTGGTCCCACCTCTAGGGCCAGCAGTCATTTACCCTGGTTGGTTACTAAGCTCTCCACTTCCTATGTGACCATGTGCCTCAACATGGTATCAACCACCAAAAACAATCACTGCACCCTCTGTGCCTAGTTTCCTTTTCTGTGGGATGGGGATGGCATTGCACCTGTCTCAGGGCTGTAAGGATGAAGAGACCGTGCTGGTCACTCTGAAGATGCTTCAGCTGTCTTGCTCTTCTCTCCCTCTGCTCTGACCATCTAGGATCCTCTCAATGGCCCCTGAGGAGGAAGAGGAGGAGTCTGAGGGCCCCCTGAGGGAGCAGGACCTGAAGGGGGCCTATGTACAACTTGTCCGGGGCGTGCAGGAGTGGCAGGATGGCTGTGTCTACCGAGGGGAGTTTGGGATGGACATGAAGCTCGGATATGGCGAATTCTCTTGGCCCACGGGCGAGGTAACTGGCTTCCGCCATGTCCTCCTCCTCCTTCCCCAGGGCTCAGGCTGGGCACAGCCAGTGGTGCCTGGCCTCTATTCTCCTCGGAGAGGGATGTCACTTGGGGATGTCCTTCAGCAGGTTCAGTCAGCAGGAGGGATGCTAGGCTAATGTCCTTCCCACTTTGGAAATGTCCAGGTAAAAACATCCTTCCAGATGTCACACCCATGGCTTTCCCTGAGGTCTGTAAAGATGAGGTTTGGGAAACTGTGACTTAAGAAGATAAATTCTTATCTGGGGCAAATGTTTTAAAATTGTGGATTATGGTAGGAACTTGCATATTTACTTTGGTGAAATTGCCTTGTGTTTAAGCTTCAGCAGTGGGGCAAAGGACATTCTTAAAGGTGACATGAGAACACGCCCTTGCACTTGCCCAGAAGACCAGTGGACACTCTCTGGGGATGACCACTGGGACCCGGGGCTGCAGCCAAAGCAGTCTGCTCTGGCTGTCCCTGGCTGCGTGGGGCAGCCTAGTGCTTAGTAAACTGGGGTGTGTACTTGTGGGGGGGGGGCTGTGATCCTTTCCCCATGGGGTGCTGGCTTTAAAGATTTCCCAGCGATGTGCCCCATCTGTGCACCCTGGGCCCTGAATATTGTGGGCTGCCGCTGAGACCTCCTCTGGAGATAGCCCAGGGGAAGGGGTGTATATATGAAGCTATTATGGATTACAGGTCCAGAAGGGCCCTTTCAGGGCTCTTATCTCCATCCCTCCGGCACACTGTGCTCTGCTTTTGGAGACCTGGCTTCTGTGCCTCTGGTGCCCAAGGCTGGAGACCCCTGGCCCGTCCTCCCCTCATCACCTATTCCCCCTGGTCAAGACACAGTAGATGGAACTGAAATTTCTCAGCGCTGATTCTGAAGTCCCTCAAGTATGTGTTGGCCCAGCTTTGGTCATGCCCCCATTTGGGCAGCTGTGGCCTGGGGCAGGGACATGGCAGGCACACATGGCCATCTGGTCTTTTTGGTGGGGGCATTTTCAGGATCTAGATGTTGCTGTGAGTCAGGCAGACACCCCATTAGAATGTTTCCTTCAGCAGGTGCAGGGCAGTGGATGAGTGAGGCCAGCTCAGGAGCTTCTGGGATGGGAAGGCATGCTGGGCATTATCAGTGCACGGAGGGTGGTGGGGCCATGAGGGTGTGCTTGCCTGGAGGGGGGCAGCATCTCAGGATGGAGCCTGGGGAGTGCAGGGGTGTGTGGGCAGGACGAGGGACAGGACTCCTCCAGCACCAGGCACTGAGCAGCTGCAGTGAGGAGGGGCTTCCAGGTACCCCAGCCCTGCACCCATTGCCAACACATTCCCAGCACAGCTAGAATGCTGTCCTAATTCAGAGGAGACTCCAGGTCTTATGTGACCAGAACTGAGGCCAGGAAAGCAGGAACCTGGAGGGTGCTGAGCTCTGTCCTGAATACAGATTGCTAGGACAGCTGTGGGTCCTGTGAGCATTTATCTGTCCTGTGGGTGTCTCTTCAGTCCTCAGCTGCTTTCTCCACATCAAGGCTGGAGAGCCTCCTTCATGGCATGGGGTCTAGAGTCCTCTTCCCACCACTGTCTCCTCAGGGCAGGGACTTGTGTGTCCATGGGCAGATGCTTGCCCAGCTGTGGAGGCTCATGGCTTGTGAATCAGAGAAAGCCAGAAGGACAAGAGCGCCCCTTGCAGACCAGAGCCCAGGGCTCACTCATCTGTTGGAAGCACAGGGCGAGGCCTTGTTAGTCCCACCTGGTCAGAGGAGCCTCACGGTCTGGACAGAGGGGTGGGCAGAGAGGGATGGCTCCACACCCTGCGAGTGGCACACAGATCTCTCACCAGGAGCTGGGTGCTAACTGCTCCTCTATTATTCCATATCATGATTTGCAACTTAAGGCTGTTCCTATTTGGGGAGACTCTCTGATAAGCTGTAGCAGCATACATTTAAATGAATGCTGACTTTGAGAGGCCAAGGCAGGAGGATTGTTTGAGACAGGAGTTTGAGACTAGCCTAAGCAAGAGCAAGACCCTGTCTCTACTAAAATTAGAAAAACTATCTGGGCATTGTGGTGGGCACCTGTAGTCCTAGCTGCTCAGGAAGCCAAGGCAGGAGGATCACTTGAGCCTAGGAGTTTGAGATTGCTGTGAACTGTGATAATGCCACTGCACTGTGCCTGAGCGATAGAGGTTGGAGACCCTGACTCAGAAAAGGAAAAAAGCAAGGTTGGCACAAGGTGTTCCCCCAGCCTGATGACCTCTCCGCTTGCCTCGTCCTTGCTGGTCGAGCCTCTGAGAAATGGTGCTGAACAGAGCCCAAATTCAGGGCAGCTGAGACAGAGAAAGGCTTTGCTGTCTCTCCAGACTTGAAGTCTGAGGTGATGTGGCCCCAGGCTTGGCTGGATCGAGGGGTTCATATAACCCAGTAGGCCCTCCCTCTTTTCAGCTCCTCATGGGGATGGGGAGGCTAAGGCTGACCTTTCATCATCAGGCCAGTTCCTGGGGGCCTGTCACACACTCCTGGAAGGGAGAAAGGCCCCAGCAGGATGCCATTCTGGCTGGGGGATGAGCAACATGGCCAAACCTGAATCAAGGCTGGGGCTATGGGTAGGGTCCCCTCCTTGGCCAGGCCTGGTTGTGTGCTAGGGGCTGGGGTCACATGGGGATGCCTCTCTGCAAGGAGGTGAAGACATCGCTGTTACCTCCTCATGGGGGATTCTGTCTGAGACATCTACCCAGGTGCTCCTGGCTGGCCTGCTTCTAGGAGTGGGGGAGAGGTGATGTCTAGTGGCCAGAAAGCCTGGTCTGGAATCCCATTTTTCCCTTCTGTGGCCTCAGGAAAGGGCAGGCTCTGACATACCCCTAGGTTTATGGGGCTGGAAAAAGGCCAGCATCCCACATGTCCCACTATTGAGGGGTTCCAGTCAACATCCTGCCCACATTCTCAGCCAGGGCCACAGCTTACCCTCCCCGCAGAGTCACCCCGCCTGGGGCCCTGACAAGGAGTGGGGATAGGCCCTTCCCAAACTCCAGGTGGGCACTGACCTTCTCCCCCAGGCAGAAGGCAGGGAGAGAGTGTGGCTGTGGGGCTGACTGCCTGGGACCCCGTCCGAGTGCTGTAAGTGGCTGTGCACCCTGTGAGGCCCAACACTGCCCTAACGGCCTCCAGTCACTGCCTGCTGCCTAGTGTGGGGCTCAGAGGGCTCCACTGGGCTGTGGGATAAATGAGAGCTATTTCTCAGACCCCAGGGGACACTGACCTCTCTGTCTCCCAGTCGTACTGCGGGCAGTTTTACCGGGACCACCGCCATGGCTTGGGCACCTACACGTGGCCAGATGGCTCCAGTTTCACGGGCATGTTTTACCTCAGCCTCCGAGAGGGTTATGGCACCATGTACACGAAGACAAGCCTCTTCCAGGTGAGGGCTGTGTGTGTTCAGGCCACTGGACAAAGAGGTATTTAGGTTTTGGGGTAGTTTATTGGTTTAATTAAAAGTAGCTTTCTTATTTTTAATGATTGTAATAGTACCAGTAACATTAGGTGCTCTGTGTGGGATGAGAAAAGAATTTCTCCAGACCAAGATTGCATATAAAAGTATAGACTTAGTTCATCTTAGAGAGGGCGGGGAGAAGAAAGGGAGTGGGAAAGAGAGAGACGGGCATCCCAAAGAGAGAAGGAAAGAAGCTGCCCTCAGGTCCTGTGGCCATCTGAATTTAAGGGGGACAGAAGGAAAAAGGGAGTTGCAGCCAGGTCCACAGGGCCTTGTGGGTGTGAGTGTCACCTGTCCTCCCCCAGGTTGAAGGCAGACATGTCCCAGGCGTTTCTGATCCTCAGGCCTGAAGTTCACACCCCAGTTGTTACCCTCCAGGAGCTTTTCAGGAACCACGTGGAGCTATAGGAACACATCTAGAGAGAGAGAGAAGAACTTACATTTCCCTTCTGGTCTGTTGGCTTCTCAGTTGTTTGTGAAAAGGCAGCACAAAGTGGGGATGCTGGTGAGTCTGCAGAGAGAGCTGGTTCCAGTGCTTACTGAGACCCTTCCTCAGTTAGTGATTTTTCTACCATTTCACTATGAAGACTGACCATCCTTACAATTAATAAGCATATAAAGAAAAATGAAAACATCTTTTTCATTCCATTCCCCACAGGGATATTAGCAAGTTGTAATCCTTTAGATTAAACAATATACCATAAATATTTATTTCTTAATATATAAATTGGATCATCCTACATATATTGTTTGAAACTTACCTTTTATTTATTTATTTTTTTGCAGTTTTTGGCTGGGGCTGGGTTTGAACCTGCCACCTCCGGCATATGGGGCCGGCGCCCTATTCCTTTGAGCCACAGGTGCTGCCCCAAACTTACCTTTTTTTTTTTTAAATGGAGAACTTGCCTAGTCTTTCAAGTGTCAATGGAAAAGCAGCCAAACTCTATAAAATAATTTAGAGAGGTTTATTCTGAGCCAACTTTGAGGGCCACGGCCAGAGCCAGGCCCAGGAAGCCTTGGGCAGGTGGACTCTTGGTGGTGGGGTTACAGTTTGGAGTTTGGTTTACACATTTCAGGGAGTCAGGAATTACAGGTAAAGTCATAAACCAATACATGGAAGGTGTACATTGGTTTGACCCCAAAAGGTGGGACATCTCTAAGTCAGGGGCCTTGTAAGTGGGTTTAAAGACTCTTTGATTTGTAGTTGGTTAAAGATATGAACCTTCTAAAGGCTTGGAAACTTTTTTTTTAGTTTTTTCTTTGAGACAGAGTCTCAAGCTGTCACCCTGGGTATAGTACGGTGGTGCCATAGCTCACAGCAACCTCAAACTCTTGGGCTTAAGCGGTTCTCCTGCCTCAGCCTCCCAAGTAGTTGGGACTATAGGTACCCACCACAATGCCTGGCTATTTTTTTTTCTTTTGGTTGCAGTTGTCATTGTGTTTTAGCCTGGGCTGGGTATGTAGCTCCAAAAAGGAGGGGCCCGCGGCGTGCTGGCCTCTCTTTGCAGGGCCAGCAGCTCAGCTTTGGGGGCTCCACAAGCACAGACCTTCTCCCCTCCCCTTGTATTTTGTTACAGTATAATTTACAGTAAGAGTCACCCATTTTGATACACAGACCTGAAAGTTTTAAGAGGCTAGAATTGTGTAACTGTTACTGCAGTCAAGATATGGAACAGTCTTCCCTTGCTGTTACCAGACAAAGTGGGTCCAGCCACCTGTCACTTTCCAGCCAATAGGCAGAGAAGGGATTTTAGATTCAACAAGCTTTATTTGTCAGAAAACCAGACATTCTGGAAAACAGTGAGAGTAGCCTCTTAATTCTCTCCTGCCTCAGGTACAATTCTTTTTTTCTAGAGATAGAGTCTCACTTTGTTGCCCTCGGTAGAGTGCTGTGATGTCATAGCTCACAGCAACCTCCAGCTCTTGGGCTTAGGCGATTCTCTTGCCTCAGCCTCCCAAGTAGCTGGGATTATAGGCACCCGTCGCAACGCCAGGCTATTTTTGTTGTTGTTGTTGCAGTTTGGCTGGGGCCGGGTTTGAACCCGCCACCCTTGGTATATGGGGCCAACACTCTACTCACTGAGCCACAGGCGCCGCCCCCTCAGATACAATTCTAATAACTTTTATAATGACATAGAAGGGAACCAACCTAGAAAATTTTAACTTTATCCGATAGGAAGAAACATCAAAGTAGTCTCCATTTTAACAATTCAAAATGTTTAGACTCAGACAGGTGATTTTCAAACATCTTAGGTGTTTTAACAAAACATCTAAGAGAATCAGCAGAGAAAACATCGTATCATCAAAGTAACCTTTACCAATATCAAAACACCCATTGTCTATGTGTGACTCTTCTCCAAATCTCCTGAGACAATGTCCTCACAGTCACAGAGAAAGCCTAACTAGATAATCAGGGAAGGCTTATGGGGAGGGCTGAGCAGAGGAGGTTAGGGGACTGCCCTGGCTCAGCTTCTCAGACTCCGCCCTGCAGGCTGCTTTTCTGGCCTCAGCACCCCTGGTCACAAGTCTCTCCTTCTACCCCCAGCCTGTGGCTAACCTGTTCGACCTGAGGTTTTGCCCCTGAGAGAGGCCACTTGGCTTTTTGTCCCCCTCCACTCTGAGGCCACTTTGATGGAGTCCCTCGTATTGCTGAGTGATTTCCCATTTTATGGGGCTGCCACTGTTTGTCCACTCCCCAGCTGAAAGGCGTTGGGGCTGTTTCCAGGTTTTGGTAATTATGAATAAAGCTGCTGCAAACATGTGTGCTAAGTCCACTGCTAGGCATTCCGGGGAATGCTGCGGGTGCCCACCAGCGGCTCTCCTTCCCTCGAGAGTGCACGGGGGCAGGACTGTGCGGTCCCAGGGTGAGTGAATCCACTTCCTCAAGTGGTTGTTGTCAATCTAAATGAAGAGACTGAGGCCAAATCAACATAAGTAGAGGGTTTCCAGGGGTCAAAGTTGAAGACTGCAGCCTGGACACAGATTCAAGCTGCCCTGGCTGGGGGCTCCAATTAGCCATTATAAGGCGTTAGTTATAAAGGGGAAAAGGAATTTCGCTGAACACTAGTAATTCAGTCTCGCTGCTGTTCTGTGCCTTGCTCTTGGTGTCCCGGATTCCAGGAGCACAGAGGTGGCCAGGGCATGCTCACACTGTGTAGCCCGGTAGCATTTCAGTGTCATTTATAACTTAACCAAAAGCTGCTTTAAGTTACAAAACTTTATCAAAAATATTTATCATCAGTTTTATGATTTGGAAACTTTAGGGGAGAAAAGAAAAAAACAAAATTCCTTGAAGCAGTTACCCCTGTTGGCTGCAGGGACCTGGCTGACGCCTCCTGCACCCTCCTGCGGGGGTGTCTCTGGCCTGATGAATTTCGGTCCCCTGGTCCCTCATCGTGCTCTGAGCACTGTGGTGTGTGAGGGTCGTGGCTGCTTGGCAGCCTCCTAAGTACCTGGTGTGCTGGTGCTGTCTTCATTTCAGCTGTTGTGATCGTCTAATGGTGTTTCACTGTGGCCCTCAGGGACACCCCCCAGCTGAAGGTGATCTAGGGCACCTTTTCATGTCCCTAAGGGCCTTCTCTTTTTTCCTTTTATTTATTTATTTTTTTTTTTTTGAGATAGAGTCTTGCTGTATGGCCCAGGTTAGAGTACCATGGCCTTGGCCTAGCTCACAGCAACCTCAAACTCCTCGGCTCAAGCAATCCTCCTGCCACAGCTCCCAAGGTGCTAGGATTACACGTGTGCCACCATACCTGGTCTGATATTCTGCTTTTCCTTTTATCTTATGTACATATTTAAAGCATAGCTCTGTATCCCATAATTTTGGTTACATCATATTATTGAAGCCAGAAAAGCAATCTGCAAGAGGGAGTCTGAGAAGCTGAGCTGAAGCAGGACAGCCGACCTCGTCTGCTCAACTCACATTCTTTCCCACACCCCTGTGTTTATCTAGTTAAGATTTCACCATGATTACGAGGAGACTCTGAGGAGGTGTGAGTGGAAAGGTGGGAGAACAGGGCTGGGGAGTTGAGGCAGAAGAGGGTACCCTTTTGAAATATTTACATAAATTGGATTTTTATGAAATGTTTTTGTGGATAGACTCAGTTAGGAGACTGTGGATTATGAGAACTAGGATAAAGGAGAGATAGAGGACATGGCTACTGAAGAGGGTATGTTTGCAGGGACACCACAATGTGTATCGGGAGCCCCCAAAGTCTGTGAACAGCAGCAGCACAGGCCTTGGGGAAAAGAACCAGAAATGTCTTGCTGAGGCCTGAACTTTTCCCGTAGAGAGCCTGTACAGAGGTCTCTGGGGACAACGAGCCCTTTAGAGATGTGCTGGGAGCAGCAAGTGCTTCAGGCTCTAGATAAAGGAGAAACAATCTCTTGGGGTTGAGATACGAGGACCAGCTTCTTTCTCCCCCTCCTGACCTGGGCGTGGCATTAGCCTGTCTGCCCACAGGGACCCGGAGACTTAATTGCCTCCTGTGGAAACTGTGTGCGTGGTCAAACCCGCTGTCTGCTCTCCCATCCTGCTTCTAAGTCCTGTTCTTTGTTCCATTAACCGCGTTCCAGTTCCTTAGTTTATAAACAGCTGAGGGTGGAGTAAAGTAGTTTCTAAAGTGAGTTAAACAGTATTGTAGCTGAAATTGTCAGTATAGGAGAAAGATGAAGCCTGTGCCGCCTTCCTCTTCTTTCACGACTACTCATTTGCTAATTTGAGGATAATGTAGGTAAAAAATACCCAGTTAACCCATCACACAGTGCCTTTGCTTTTCCTTGCCTTAAGTGGCGACGGTCCCCTGGGCCTACTCTTTTTAGATCCTGCTTTGTCTTTATTTCTTTCCTTCTCTCATCACCACCACGCGCTGGGGACGAGCAGGGGTGGTGGGAGCTGACCCCGCACAGGAGGCAGTGGCCCATGGACA